CATGAAAATCATGAGTTGTTCAGGGCCAAAATAAACACAATCATGAGAACCAATTGTGTTAGGAAATAGACTGTGTGAAGTCTATTCGATCTAATTTATCAAACAGTTGAATAGTTCAAAACATCAAGTTCACTATTTAGCCAGTAAGTCCGATAGACTTTCACTAGAGAAGGTTCAAGGCCAAAAACTACCTATCTCAATATACGATCTTTCCAAAGATGTGTTCTCTATATAGTGTGTTAGCATTATCATTTGCGTACTAACAACCAATTTTTCACTCATGTGGGGGATTGTTAGACCAAAATAGTTTTTAAAGTATAAAAATTGAATTTTGGTCGACTTTGTGCCTAAAATAAAGTGGGACCCATTCGTTATTTTGAGTAAACTTTCGTGGGTTTGTATTATGCTTCCGTGAGGAGAATAATGTATTATATTCATTTACTCAAATCGAGTAAGAAATGAATGAGAAAATAGGCTTCAAAGTTACACTTTTGAAATGTGGAAATAAAGGTTATTCAATGTGAGATTTGACACCAATCCTACATTGGTTGAGGCAGAAATTCAACATGGACATATATAGGTCAAGTTTACTCTATGAGATTGGGCCTTAAGGGGTACCATAATTTTATGAGTGGAGGGAGCACCTACATGCCTTCGGTTCTACCACACACGCGTGTGCGCCATGACCCGACCCACCTGGGTGGGTGCGGGTGTGACCAGGCCCTATCTTTTTGGAGAAAATTTTTTTAATTAATTGGGCGAGAATTTCTTAACCCCAAATTTAATTTTCAGTATTCGTTTGGATTGCACTGGTTCAGATTTGTTGCTTCCCTTCAGTCCTAAATTGGGTTGTGTCTGTTCATAGAGAACAGTTACATAAGTGGCGTTTTCAAGCTTGCATTTGTCTATTGGGTTGTGTCTTTTAGTATGGTGATTGTTCGAAAAGTCACCAGAATATCTATAAATACCAAGGCTCTCATTACCATTTTGCATTCCTTCATTTATCAGTCCATGTTTAAAGTTAAGTCATACATTAGTGTTTTGTATTTTGGCATTAAGGCAGTCTGCATTTGGAGAGTATACAATACAAATTTTGGTTCGTTGCATGGGTAGATTGGAGTGCTACTTTTAAACGTGTAAAGATCATTGTATCCTGGGAGGCAAACGTTTGATATTCCATAAGCACTGTGTGTGGGGGCGAAATCTGTCTTAAGGACATAGTGTCAAACATTAGCCTTTATCTACATCAACTTTAATAATAAGTTCCATTTTACAACCGGGTTAATATTTATATTGGTTTGACGAACAGTTACGTGTAACTGTTTTCTGTTACTGTTTCGTTAAGACTATAATAACTGTTTCTATATTTTGTGTAACTGTTTCGCATTTTATTGTTATTGCTTTATTATACATTACATGTTTCAAATCAGAAATTTCAACAACTGATTTTACTATATTTGGAATACCACAATCAACAATATTGAGTATTAAAATTATATTATAAAATTTTAATTATATATCATTATTTATTTTATTTTGAGGCCCCTAATATTTCTTCCAATTTGAAGGCCCTAAGCAATGGCCAACTGGCCTAAAGGTTGGGCTGGCACTAGTAATGACCAACCATCTTACCTTTCTCCAACTGACCCTAAATCACCTCTAATTATGAATCCATTCGTTGTGACTCTATAATCCTTTTTTGAAGAACAAGTTGAACCACGAGATTAAATAGATATGATTTTCTTGTTTATCCACCAACAGATCAAAGTCCTCCAAGGATTTGATCATCTTCCACCTACAAAATTCCAGAGAATTCACTACACTCTAGGACTTTCTACTGGGTACATCCAGAACAGGGCATCGTTGTTCTGTTATAGAGAGGGGAAAGAAAATGAACTGAGTTTCTATATTTCAACGAAAAAAAATATGTTTTGCTGTTAAGAAGATTCGAATTCTAGATCTCATTAACTCCTCCCCAAGCCTCGGTCGCTTGTTTTGTTTTCTATTTCTTGGAACAAGTTTTTTTTGTTTCTTGTTTTTAGGCCCTGTCTTCAAAAACAACTGATCTTATATAAAACAGAAATACAAATCCAAACACATTTTTATTTTTTACAAAAAATAAAAACAAATAACAAATAACACAAAACAAAAACACCACCCAAGCACATCGTTTGGTAACGTTTTCGTTTTTGCGTCTTCAAAACAATCAAAAACAGTGACAATTTTTGTCTCTGTTTTATGATAAATATTGAAACAGAAACATGTTTGAATGTCATTTTTGTCTATCAAATTATGAGAATAAAAAACAAAAAATATGTTTGGTAACTATGTCACGTTTTATTCTAAATATGCTTTATAATATATTTTTTTTTAAAAAAAAAAAAGAAATTTTATTGAATGAATTCGAAAATTACAAGGATCAAACTACACCCCTTTTTTTTTTTGTAAAAGGAAAAAATTTTATTCCCAAAAAGAATGAATTATAAGAATCAAAGAACAAGATGTTCTAAAAAATAGAAAAAAATGGCTTTAATCCTTCAAAAGGATCAAAACCATCTCAAATTACAATAAAAGGCTCTTAAACTTGAACAGCTCTTGCAGTCCAGCTCCATGCCTTAGATCCCCACCCCATCACCAAGCTCTAAGCTCCAACATAGTGATTAGTGCTTAAAGTTAGCATTTTACTATGTCTTTTTTGGGACAAATTATGCTTTGATGGAGTTTCAGTAATGATCTTTCAGGTCTTAAAGTGAACAAGAGCTCAAGGATAACAAATATCACACTTAGATGTAACACCAGTGGATTAAGGGGCAAAATTGAAAAAGCTTGGCATAAAGTAAGAACGTTCGAACGTGGATCAATGTTCGAACGTTCCCTTGAAGTGATTGAGGACCAAGCTGCTGAGACATGGTGTGTTGCAGTCAAAAAGGAAAATGTTGAGGTACTTGAGTATCACGTTCGAACGTGCTATGGAATCCTTAGAAGACTAGACTACTGCTGGCATGTTACAACAAAGGAAGAAGAACCACATAAGTACTTGAGTATAACGTTCGAATGCCACTCCACGTTCGAACGTTGTCTTGAGTTACTAAGGACCAAGTATCTGAGTGCAGGGTCAAAATTGTTCAAGACGTATGAAAGTAACTATCACAGAGACCACAGGCCACTTGAGTAGGGGGTTTAGACACCATCTGGCGTTCGAACGCCCCTTAAAGTAAAGACAGAGACAACCTTCAAACATCATATCACGTTTGAACACCCCTAAAGCAAAAACAGATACAACGTTCGAACGACAGATCACGTTCGAACGTCCCCCACTGACTGACTGCAGAGTTGTTGGCTTTTCACTTGGACTTGGGCGACAAACACTATTCCTTCACCCCTCCTCTCCCCTTCCTTGCCTATAAATACTCTCATTAAAGGAGCTTAAAGGAGCAATCTTTTCTCTAGATAGAGTAGAGTAAAGAGCTAGTTCTTGTACATTTTTTGTTTTTGTTTTCATTTTGCAGTTGTATCAACCATGATGGAGGCTTAGACTCCCCTTGTAGTTAAAGTCTTTTATTTACTTGTGCTAAGTTTTTACATTCATGTTGTGACAACCATGATGGAGGCTTAGACTCCCCTTGTAGTTGTACTTGTTTTTATTTACAAGTATCAAGAGTGATAACTCATCTTTTGATTGTGGTGGAAACCCTCCAAAAATAACTAGCTTTCTTCTACTTTCTTTATTTCTTTCACTTCCATTGCTTAAGCTTCCTTCTTCTTTAGAGGAGTGAAATTCTTCTATATTTCTATAGTTTTACCAAAGTCGTGAAGGGTGGAACGTGATTCACTTATTCTTTGGTGAAGATTGGCTCTTCGCTTATTGTACTTTACCTTGTAAGTTCTCTATTTTGAGGGATGAGTATCACTCACGTTTCTAGCTTTACTCAAGTCATGAAGAGTGAGTAGTTCCTTATTCACTCTTTTAGTAAGAGGTGATGAACATATATTGATTATCCGAAAGTTATATTTGTGCAATCCTTTTATGCTTTAATGCTTTATATTTCACTTGTTCATTGAATGATTGAATGTATCTAGCAAAGCTAAGGTACTTAGGATAAACATGGGTTCTTTCTATGTCACGGATGACTCTTGCATGGATAAACATGTTGGTTCAAGACAAGTACCTAGGCTAGATCTGCATGATACTTTTCAATCTTCACTATTATCGTGTCTTATCTAAAGAATGAAATATTAATGTCATGGTTGGATGCCTTGTAGAAATACTTACTTGTTTGAAGACGGGTTAAATCTCGGTACAGACAATTCTTGTCCACTTCTAGAAAGACATCGTAATTATGTGCTTAATTCTCACAGTTCATCTTTATCTTTTGATTAACTTGCTGATGACATGAGAGTTAATTGAGTTACAAAACACAAGTATAATAAACCGGATGATTAACCACATGTTCTGATCCTCAAGCTAAAGGGTGACTGTTTTACATTTGAATTTATCTTATATTTTGTCTAGAAAACTTTTGAAAAGAATCTTCTATTCTATTCAAGAAATTTCACCACTCCAAACTCTCAAAATTTTCAGTTACTTGGTCTCTATTATTGCTTACTTCAAAACACCAGTCATAGTTCCCTGTGGATCCAACTCCGGACTTAACCAGATTATTACTATAACTTGACCGCCTGCACTTGGGTGTACACTTTTCGGATCAAGTCACACAGCATCATCCCAGACTGAATACAGAAGCAGACCAGAACAGACAAAATGCTCCCAGCTGCGCAGGCCTTCTAGCTACACACTAGATGCCTGACCAAAATTTTTTTTCTAAGAAAGAGAACTTTTTATTTCCACAAAGAAAGACCGTATAAGAATCAAAGAACAAATTTTCTAAAAGTATGAAAAAATGGCTTTAATCCTTCAAGATGGATTAAACCATTTCTAATTACATTTATGACCCCCCTGATTTTTAAAAAAACTTCTGCCTGCATGCTCCATTCCATACTCAGAAATAAACCAATGTAGAACAGCCCAGCTTCCAGAACAGTCCCAATGTAGGATTGCAGAAATAGTCTAAAATCTGAACCAGTTGCAAATAGTCCTTCAGCATTCCAGCTCAATCCATCAGATATCAACTTCATACAACCTAGAAGGCACAACAAACAAAGTACATCAGCATAACAGTGCTGCTGCTGCAAAGCAGCATAACAGCAAGCAATGCAAGTAGCATAAAAGTGCTGCATAATAGCATAGTAGGCAGAACAACATATTAGACATACAAAGAAGTGCATTAACATGCAGTACCACAACACCATCTAGCTATACAGCTTTCCTCAACAGACTGTACCATACTGTACAGACTAAGACACTACACATCATCCGAGCTTCACAACACAACTCAAAAATCTGCAAAAAAAAAAAAAAAAGAAATTGGCTTTAATCCTTCAAGAGGACCAAAACCAATTTTGATTAAATTTCTGGTCACTAAGAGAGCACTAAATCTTACAAGATTCAAGAAGTAGTAGCTAATTTGCTTTTGGGCTCCTAGAACTATCACTGGATCCCAGACCCTCTCAAACCTATCAGTGATAGAAAAAGGATATGGTTAACTCGAATAGTATAATATCATAAATAGCTTATAGATAGATAAGTAAAAATGATAACTTACATATAATGCAAATGCTCAAACCCAGTACTAGATCCTAAACCAGTCAGACCAAGAAGTTGCAGTCCCCTCAGGGTTAGGATGCCACCAGAAGGAAGAAGAATCCATGCCATAGGGGGAGAGGGGAGAAAGAGAGAATGAGCAATGTTGTTACCAAACTTACCATTGACAGAAAAGGAAAATGAAGATTGTACAGTCTTGGATTTCCTCACCCCAGAACCTAGAACCTCTTTTCCTAGCTAAATCCAAATAGATTCTGTTCAACAAGGATCAAAAGAAAATTTGTTTAACAGAAAAAATAGAATACCATTGCCAGAAAAGTCAGTGAAGCAACCAATTTCTAACAGCAAATGAGGCCAGCTAAAACATTAGCTTTTATATATACATGTTTCAATTGAAATTGCAAACCCTCAAGCAATCTCCATATCTCTTCTAATACACTTTATAATATATCATAAAACTAAATACAAATCTAAAAATTTCTTAAACCAAAACATCCACTAATTCATCAAAGAACACCTAATCTTGAAGATGATTATAGTTTTTAATAGAACTTGACTGTATTCAATTGATATCTTCCACAAAATTCCAGAAGCTGCTATAAACAATATGAGGTACCACAATAAAAAATTTATGAACTTGGGTGAAAATAATGATAATTAGGGACAATTTAGAATGGACATTGATTAGGTCAAGTGGCAGCAGCAAGCTACCTAATTATGATTATTTTTCAATGATAATATCACTCAATTCACCAACACTCTCAATAGAACCTACTAGGGCCCTTTATCTGTATGCCAAAAATTTTATAATCACAAATGGTTGTTTAGGACCCATGTTTGGGCTTCTACAACTCAAATCGTGGGTCATCTGCGGAACGAAATGCACATACAAATTTAACTTAGAATTTTGCTACCTTTACTAAACTTATAAGGAAGCATCAAAAGCTTAGGAGATCTGATCTAAATATTGCAATATAGTTTTAATAGCAAATATAATCTGGTGGAAAGAGAAGGAAAAATATATAATTAGAGATTAAAGCAATATATCAGACTCGCTTATCCTAAGATAAAGCAATATAACTAGTAATGATCGAGTATGCTGTAAGATACAACCACCCTTTACAATAATCTCCATAGACCCGAAACCAGTTTTCTTTTGATTTACTACAACTTTTTTTCTTTTTTCCTTCTACAAAGAGAACAGCATCCCAAACATTCTAAACAACAAATCAGAAAACTAGCTATCCCCAAAACAAAGATGTTCATTGATAGATAAAAACTCAAAATCAATAATGAAATATACATACAAATATACAGATCTATGTATATTGTGGTGAAAAAAATACAAATAAAAAAAAATCGATTAGGGCCTGTGATGTACAGATCTATGCATATATATATAGATCTATGTATATATATACATATATCTATAAAAATAAAAGGATTACACTTACCTTCGTAGCCAAATGATGCTCCTTCTTCATCGATCGGAGTGAAAATCCCTTCTTCTTAAGGTAAGTTGAGACAGAGAAGAGAAGAGAGGGTCTGTCTGAGACAGAGAAGAGAAGAGAGTAGATGAGCGAAGAAAAGAGAGGGGTTAATTCATATGTATTGTATGAGGACCAAACAGACCACATATTTATACTATGTCATATAAAGTGGTATTTTGTGGCTAACAGGACTCGAAGTCGAGACGTCATTTATACAAACCTTACATGTTTTGTGTTTCGCATATTTCCTAGAACACAAATTTTTTATTCTCATTTTTTTATCTTTGTCTCCAAAAAATTAATATAAAACAAAAATAAAAACAGTATCTTTTTTTATTTTCGACAGAAATTAAAAACAAAAACAAACGACCCGAGTTTTCCAAGACGGTATAATACAACGAGACCAAGGGGTTCTTTTGTCATCCTGAAGAACGGGAAGGATTGCCGAGTACAAAAGAACAGGACCCCTCTCTCTCTCTCTCTCTCTCACATAAATCAGAGATGTCATCACCGATGGTAGAAGACAGCAGTTTTGAAGACGATCAGCTCTCGTCGATGTCCACCGAGGATATCATTAGGGCTTCTCGGCTTCTCGATAACGAAATTCGAATCCTCAAGGTTCAGATCTTCCTCTCCTGTATACATAGAGATATATATGTATATATGTATTATGCTTAATCAACAATCTTTTCAGTTTACTTTTGTATCTGATGTATATGAATAGGAAGAGTTGCAGAGGACGAATCTAGAACTAGACTCGTTCAAGGAAAAGATAAAAGAGAATCAAGAGAAGATCAAACTGAACAAGCAACTTCCTTACTTAGTCGGCAACATCGTTGAGGTAAGTTATTACTGATTTATTTGTAAATTTGATGCTTTATGTTTCGGTTGGTTGCTGAGGCAGTACATAGTAAAATGGTAGACAAAGGGATTTGGGTTTTGTACCTCATGTCTCGGTTTGTGCAAAGAAATTTGAAGTTTACACGAACTAAGTTGGTTACTTGTGTTTGAGACTGCTTTTAAAGGTTCAGATGCTATGTGTTTTGTTTGGTTGCTTAGAAAATCTGGGTAAGAAAATAAGGAAGGGAATGTAGTATTTTGTTTTGTGCCTGACATAAGTATAATATGCCACTGATACTGCTGCGAAGAAATATAACACATGATGCTCAATTAGGTGAGACGAACAATGATTGCCTGGCTCTTGGTCAGCTAACTTCTTCGTAGATGGCATGCCTTTGTGCCTGTATGTGAGGTCCAATGACATTGCAACAAAATTTAGAAGCAGCCCCTGGCAAGTAATTAACTGTAAAACCTGTCAGTAGGAAATCTTCTTATTTGAGAGTGAGTCCACTTCCTTCTAGGTAGATGGATGCCAAGTGCAGTTTACCTTGTAGCCCCTACAAACGAAATTGACATCTAACTGTGAGCGACAACCACGTTAATGTGAAATCAAAGACATTTAAAAAGAAAAAATTGTACAAAACTCTTTGCATACCATTTTAGATATGAAAGTAACACCACTTGAACAACAATTCATGAAAATATTTATGCATAATAATTTAGCCTAATAGTTTTTTTCCATTTCAAACAAAGGATCACTAATGTCGTGATAAAAAAAGGCGCTTTTACATCTTTAAAAGGTGATTAGTCCGTAATTGCTGCTTGTGGAAACAATTTCAAAGTAACTACTCTAACATGACATAGGTTGGAGAGTTTTGTAATTCTACAGGGTCTGACATGAAACTACTTTTTTTCTATATTCGAGTTTTGTAATTTTATTGGGTTCTTTGGGTGTGTATTGCATTGATAGACATCTTCCCTAGCAAATGCTACTGTTGAAGTATTACTTGAAAAGGTGGAGTACTCTGACATGAACTACTTTTTTTTTTTTGGCTATATTCGAGTTTTGTAATTATATCAGGTCATTTTGGGTGTGTATTGCACTGATGTACATTGCCCCTAACTTTTGCTACTGCTGAAGTATTACTTGAAAAGGTGAAGTACTCAACCTGTTTGCTTCTCTCCCACTCCCTCTCTGTCTTTCTCTCTCTCTCTTAGTTTGATATATATTTTGAGCTGAATTGTCTCTCTAATACTCAGTTGATGAGGGTGATGAATGCATGGTCTACTCTGTAGTAACTGGAAACAATCAATAAGTGATAGCTTTACTGGCCTAGGTTCTGACTAGGGTTATTGTTGTTTTAGCTCTATTGGGCACTTACTTGCATTTCTATGTTTCTAGATTTTGGAAATGAACCCTGAGGATGAGGCTGAGGAAGACGGAGCAAATATTGATCTTGATTCCCAAAGGAAGGGTAAATGTGTTGTATTGAAAACATCTACGCGGCAGGTAAGCTGCATGTTCTCATACATCTATGTATTTCTTTTCTGCCGTGATGTAGGGCTTTTGGTGTGAATTTCTCCTTTTTTATTTGTTCATTTTTCCTTTAAAGTGTATGGCTTCTCTTTCTTCTTTCCTCTTTCCTTTCCTGTCTTTTGCTGTTATACTTTTTTTGTAGGTTTTATATTCAGTAACTAGTAACTACCCTGATTTATGTCCACGCGTGAGGTTGTTTGGAATATTGTTAACTTGATTGTGGATATCAAGAATGAAAATGATCCTGGATGTCGTTTATATTCTCTTCATGAGAGTTAAGTTTGTACGCAGGCTTCTATGCTCTATCTGAAACCTATTTTTTTTTCTTTTGTCTTGAAGTACTATTTATTCTTTCTTGACTACAGACTATTTTTCTTCCTGTGGTTGGTCTTGTTGACCCTGACAAGCTAAAGCCTGGTGATTTAGTTGGGGTGAACAAAGATAGTTACTTGATATTGGATACATTGCCATCTGAGTATGATTCTCGAGTTAAGGCAATGGAGGTTGATGAAAAACCAACTGAAGATTATAATGACATTGGAGGGCTGGAGAAACAGGCAAGTTAATTGTATATAATATACTATATGTCAGTACGCTCTCATTGACTAATTACATACTTGATGTATGACATTTTAATTGGATTTTGAATTAATTGTGTAGATCCAAGAACTAGTTGAGGCTATTGTTTTGCCCATGACACACAAAGAGAGGTTTCAGAAATTAGGAGTTCGTCCGCCCAAAGGAGTGCTTTTGTATGGACCACCTGGAACAGGGAAAACTTTAATGGCCCGTGCTTGTGCTGCCCAAACAAATGCTACTTTTCTGAAGCTCGCAGGACCCCAACTTGTTCAGGTATCTTTCTTATCAGAACTTTCAACATGCTATTGATGCTTGTTCATCTTTCAATTGGGTGACCTTTGAATGGTAAACCCCTTTAGAATAACCTGTGAGTCTACTTAGGTTGTTTCTTTCTTCCATTTATCGCATTATAATTGCTTTTGATGCATTTACATAAATGTTGGTTGTAATAAAAACTTCATTAGCCCCCATCGATAATTTGTCTCTCCTCACAAAGGCCCCCTGTCATTTTGAGATCGTGTCATTCAAGCAATCCCTAAGCCGAATGGAAAGAACTTTAGCAATAATCTTGTATAGGTTAGTCGTAGGGTTGAATTGTCACTATCACCTTCAACCTACTTGCTCTTTAGCTATGTCGCCTATTTCTGCATCCTATAGATCCAAAAACTAACTACTGACTAGACTCTAGGATCACAATCCCTCCATCCATAGTGTCTAGTCTCATTAAAGTGAGGCGATGATGCTATTCCATGCACTGCTGAACCCTAGTAATATCAATCACGGGCAACAAGGCTGTCTAAACCAGACTCATGTGATGGTGGTCCTCTAGATGTGCTAGCCTATAAGTGAACTGGTGGTGGTGCATGAGATCTAGTATTTACATGTGAATCTTCCATCTCATCCTCTCTCTCTTCTTCTACCACAACATTTTGAGCCCGTGCCTACTTTACTTTAGAGAACTCTTGTTCAGAGGTCTCATGGGGTTTTACATCTTATACATACGCAAAACCACTGCCCCCTTGTCCATGGAGATACGAGGAATTAATGATCCAAAAAGTAGACCATCAGATACTCTCCCCACCAAGAAGGCTCGCTGAATAAACCCTAATATCATCAATGGGTAGACAAGATCTAACTCCATCCCAATGGTATATAGCATGTATGCTCTCTGGACTGCAAAATATGAGGGGTGGGTCTTTGGCTCTACTATGTTCTAGATGACTATCTGTGATAACCCATTTATTAATTAGAAAGAACTATAATTCTATATTACCGAAGTTTATTTTTCGAATTTTCAAATAAATAAATGGATCTCAAAAATTGGTTTCTTGCTTGAAAACAAGTTCAATGACTATAATATTAATCATGTTTAATAAATATTTAAGATGTCTGAATTGTGTATTGTGAAAAAATGTGTCATGTAATAAAGAAAGATACACTTACGAATAAGGTGACAAGTCACAAGTGTCTTGGATATAAGGTTAAAAAAAAAAAAAAAGGCAAATAACATGGACAAGTGTCAATGATGACATCACAAGGATGACATAAGATGCTTGGGGACCAAGCAAAAATTGGCTATAAATGAGGTTGCCATGCCATTGAACAAAACGTAGGAGGAAGGAAGAAAAAAGAGAAAAAAGAGGGAAAGAAGAAAGGAAGGAAAAAGAGAGGGGAAGGAAGAGAGAGAAAGAGAAAGGAAGAAAAAGGAGAAAAAGGAAGAAAAAGGGAGGAAAAAAATAGAAGAAAAACTTTTGAGATTTTGGGGTCAAAAATTGAACGGTGATTTTACTTTATATCGCTACTAAATTTGAATATCTTATTCGTGGTACTTTGAATTTCACATCTATTGAAGTCATTGATGATTTGAGGTATGAGGTAGTATACAATATGCTCATGTCTTTCTGTCTCCTTGCAAAAAATGTCATTTTGATCATTTAAAATTTATGCTCTTATTGATTGTTTTTTGTTGATATGAAATTCTATAAGTTTTGTTGATCAGACCTGTATTTTGGGGTAAATACTTTAGGATTGATTCGGTACATGCACAAAGTGTACTTGGGGCATAATTTGTGAAATATGATTGTGGCCCTACAGAGTGTAATTCTTTAGTTTGGTTATAATCCTTTGGGGTATAATTTTGGTATGAGTACAAATTTTTATGCTCATGTGTCACTTGTCATATCACCAAGATGAATCAAGTATGAGACTATCTTTTGATCGCAATTGAGTTATGTGATCTATTGAATTTGATTCTTGATTTTGTTATATATGATTGCCTATCAATTGAGTTATTTGATCGCTTTTATTTTGTCGTTGAGCATATTGTTTCCTATTGTATTGTATACTTTTTTGCTTTTAATATTATTTTCAGGATGATCTTGGAGGGATGGACTAGAGTTAATATTTGAGAAATCAGAAATGGATGAATCTCGATATAATTTTTATAAAATTGAATTTCAAACTTTTATAGGTATTTGGAGATTAAATTTGTTATTATAAATTTTATTGAGGTAATTAGAGCTTTTGCCAAAATATTTGAAGATATATGTGTGGTACTTGTGGAATTATGGTCAATTGATTAATCAAGTAATGCACCCAGAAACCAGTGCCTTTGTATTTGAGATATTTTGTGGAATTGTGTTGATCAATTAATTAGTTAACGTGTCCAAGAAACCGGGGTGTCACAAAGTGGTATCAGAGTTTAGGTATTGGATCTTATATAAGTTTTGTGAGAAGTAAGTTTATCAGCTTTCATTGTAGGTATAAAAGGTTGAAGAGTAAACTGATTTTTCGTTATAAGGTGTATAAGCTGAAATTGGTATTATAATTTTGCATTAATGCGTACATAATTGAAAATGATATCAGAGTGCGCAGTGGAATCAATTAAGGTGAATTTTGGGGACGAAATTCTTTCTAAGGAGGGAAGATTGTGATAACCCGTTTATTAATTAGAAAGATAACTATAATTCTATATTATCAAAGCTTATTTTTAGAAGTTTCAAATAAATAAATGGATCTCAAAAGTAGGTTCCTTGCATGAAAATGAGTCTAATGACTATAATATTAATCATGTTTAATAAATATCGAAGATGTCTGAATTGTGTAATGTGTGTAAATATGTGACATAGAATAAAGAAAGATACACTTGGGACTAAGGTGACAAGTGTCTTGGATATAAGGTTTAAAAAAAAAAATAAGGCAAATAACGTGGACACGTATACATGATGACACCACAAGGATGACATAAGATGATTGGGGACTGAGCAAACATTGGCTATAAATAAGGTTGCCATGCCATTGAACAAAATGTAGGAGTAAGAAAGAAGAGAGAAAGAAGAAAGGAAGGAAAAAGAGAGAGGAAGTTAGAGAACGAGAGAGGAAGAAAAAGGAGAAAAAGAAAGAACGGGAGGAAAAAAAAATAGAAGAAAAATTTGTGAGATTTTGGGGTCAAAAATTGAATGATGATTTTTCTTTATATTGCTACTAAATTTGAGTATCTTGTTCGTGGTATTTTGAATTTCACTTCTATTGAAGTTATTGGTAATTTGAGGTATGGGGTAGTATACAATATGCTCTTGTCTTTTAATCTCTTTGCAAATAGTGTACTTTTGATCATCTGACATTTGTACTCCTATTGATTATTTTATGTTGATATGAAATTTTAAAAGTTTGTTGATTTGACCTGTATTTTGTGTTAAATACTTTGGGATTGATTGGTACATGTATGAAGTATGCTTGGGGTATAATTTGTGAAATATGATTGTAGGGGTGTGATTGTTCAATTTGATTAGAATCTTGCGTGGTATAATTTCGGTACGAGTACGAATTTATATGCTCAAGTGTCATTTGTCATATAACCAAGATGATCCAAGTATGAGGCTATCATTTGATTACAATTGAGCTATGTGATCTATTGAATTGGATTCTTGATTTTGTTATCTATGATTGTCTATCGATTGAGTTATTTGATACTTGATCGTCCGTATTTTATTATTGAACATATTGTTTTTTGTCTTATTATATACTTTTTTGCTTTTAATATTTTTTTAGGATGATTTCGGAGGGAAAGACCATAGTTGATATTTAAGAAATTGGAAATGGACGAATCTTGATATAATTTTTTATAAAATTGAAATTGTAGCTTTTATTGGTATTTGAAGATTAAATTTGTGACTATAATTTTTATTGAAGTAATTAGAACTTTAGCCCCATATTTGGAGATATGTTTGTGTTATATTGTGGTCGATTAATTAATTTATCAAATAACGCCTCCGAGTAAGCTCAATAGCTAACCAAATTTCTAGGATGTGGTATACCATAAAGCTCAATAGCCACAATAGCCACTATAGAGTGATGAGGCTGCTTGTTGACCGGCTTAGCACCAAGGGCATCAATATCAACCCAAGGTAGGCTAAGGGTGGTGGTAATGAGAGATGCTGAAAAAGTAGACTCAATCCCTTGGATGTAGGTGACAAAGTGGTTAGTTGGGGGATCAGGGTCACGAATATGAGCAATAGAATACTATCATTCGATGGCTCTAAGGCCCCGAACAATTGAGACCACCCTTGACTGGCGAAATCCAAAGGGATAGAAGAATTTACCTCGTCAAACTTAACTCCCCGCTAAATCATCACTACCTTGCGAGCGTACTCAACCCGGTAGCTCTCTTATTGCTCCGGGGTTTAGAATTTAGTGCTTTTATCGACGATCACCTCGACTTCCTCAACCCTAGCTTGCTTCTTTCTTCATAAAGGCATGATCACAAACATATCCATCCCTATTTCATCATATTCATACATTACTCTTAAGGCATATTAGTGAATTTGAAAACAAGATAGAAACAAAGAAAAATTTAAAAATTTATTTTTGAAACATTTGTCAAAATATACGGAAACATATGTCAAAACATTATGAAACAGCTCGAATCTATCGAAATGCCTCGAAACATAGGAATTTTAATTAATGATTTATTTCGATTTCCATTGAAACGGAAACGTTTCGACTTTTTCGAAATAAAATTTAGTTCCTTGCCTCTGACTTAGTTTAATTTCATTCACACGTGTTCGAATATTGCATCTTTTATCAATTTAAATGTAACGTGTGAAAACAAACTCGGACACCATTAGGAATCCCTCTAGACTAGTGATTAATATATGCTCTACATGAATTCCTAATGCATCATCTAAGTGAATACATAATTGGTTAGTTAGTGTTCTATATGCATATTTCATTTTCTTTTTAGACAATCCCCCTTGTTTTTACATCCCTTCTTCTCATAATGGCTTCAATTAACACGATTGTAAATTTTA